TGGGAAATTTCCTGGTACATAGTAAGCAGAATATGTGTTTGTAAAATAAGTAAATGAAAAATAAAAATAGCTGCTTACGTAAGAATGCAGACTTCAAGCCCTGTAGACTTCATAGTTTTATTGCCTTGAATTCTGCTTCTGAAGTTTTAATTTTGCCATAAAAAAGAACTTTGGTATTTCTGCAGTATCATTTCCAATATTGTTGTCTACATTTCACAAATTTTTAAGATACAAAATTATTTTTACCTGTAGTTCTAATTGTTTGCATCTTATTTTTTAATTTTTTATTTCTTTTATATTTGTTTTAGTTCTTATATATTAGAATAAAATTTTCAAAACAATTGTTTTACTGGTTATAACGATTTTATATTATCCAAAATGCATTTTAATTAAGACAAATATATTTTTAAAACTCTTCCACAAAAGTCCTCCTAATGGCGGATTGTCCAGTGGTCACACATACAAAGCTTCATAATATTTAGTTTTGTATTTAAAAATTAACCTACTTTTATATTGCGTGCTGTAATATAGTTGAATTTGTTTTGTTTTAAAGTGTTTTTCTACCTCCTCCAAAAGTCTTTTATCCAAGTAGAAGCACATCTTTTTTTCATGACTGGGCAAGACTTTTTAAACTTGCCTGAAATTCAGAAAATACAATTTATGAGTCAAGACATCTCAAGGTACCACTCACTTTTTCAGCAACAATGTATTCGTGTTGCATCAGTGTTTCCCATTTAAGAAAACACAAAGAACAGAAATCTGCCCTCAAAACAAAACCAACTTTCTCTCTGTTCCTCCCTACTTGCAAACAAACACTCCCCCTAAGGTTGACCAAGTTACCTCAGAAAACGTTGTCTGTGTGTACTGTCTATTTGGGTTGTTTCAAAAAGCAAGAAGATCCAGAATTATGGTGTTGGGAATTTGCGCAGACCTTGTCCAAGTAGCACATTTTCTGGGGACCAGAATTGGTGTGTTGAAACTGTGAAAACCTCGCAGTTAACATCTAACCATTTTTGTCTGGCAGCTTCTCATGTCTTCCACTGTTTGCCTGGCAGCCCCCTACTCTTCTTTTTTTTTTTTTTTAGCTGAGCCATCCTGCCACCTGTTGGCTGCTCAGCTCGGGCCAGGACTCGAACTGCTGTTGCTCAGAGCTCACACTCTTGAGCGAGCTCTTAACCAACTGAGCCACTCGGCCAGCCCTCCCCTACTCTTCTTGATGGTGACCTGGGGTTTGGTCCTGGTGGCTGGTGGTGGGCTCCACTGCCAGGGGATGAACGGGTGGAGGGTGGGGGCTGGTGTTCTTTGTTCTTCACCTACCTGAGGAAGTCAGGGCCAGAGTGGGGAGTCCACATGCTGTGCAGGTTTGTGTGTGGCAGAAGTGGAAGGTAGGAAGGGCCACTGAATTAGAGAGTATAGCAAGTAGACAGGTCACAAAGCATAAATACTTCATAATGACTGGGCGTGCATCCTTGCTTTTTTTTTTCCTTTGAAGTACCCTTCTTAATAAGGGAATCTTTATTGATTTCTATGAGTTCTTGATATAGTGGGTAGATATTAATTCATTATCTAAGGATGTTGCAAATGGATTTTCTTGCCTCCTTTCTTTTAAACGTATATATTGTGTCATTTTGCCAGACAGGATTCCTTGAACTTTTTTTTTGTACCATTTACTTGTTTGCTTTTTATTTGGTACAGTTTATAAGTTTAATGACAAAAACTTGAAAAAAAAAGACTCACAGAGATTCTTAAGTGGGATGTCTCCCTTCTACCTTTGTCTGCCAGCCATCTTTGTAGGTGACCATGTTAGGACACTTTTGTTTATATTTTTCTGAAAAAAATTTATTTCTCTTGACTTTTTATTTCAGAATACTTTTATATGTATATAATTATTCCGAAGCTAGTACAGAGAGTCCCCCATACCTTATACATATATTCCCCTATTATCAACACTTTACATTAGCATGGTACATTTGCTATAATTAATAAACTAATATTGCTACATTATTACTAACCGAAGTTCATGCTTTATTCAGATGTCCTCAGTTTCTTCATAATGTCCTTTTTCTGTTCCAAGATCTCATCCCCAATGATAGATTACATCAGTGCGCCTGTCTCAAGGCTCTTCTTGGCTGTGACAAGACTCACAGAGTTTCTCAGGCTTTCTTTGCTTTTGATGCCCTTGGCAGTTTTGATGATTACTAGTCAGGTATTATGTAGAATGTCCCTCAATTGGGGTTTTATATATATTGATTTGTAATGCACGCACCACAAAACCTGCCTTTTTAAAAATTCAGTGCTTTTTAGTATACCCACGATGTTTGACAACCATCCCTACTATCTAATTCCAGAACATTTTATCATCACACAAAGAAACCCCATAACCATTAGCGGTCGCTCCCCACTCCGCCTCCCCCATTCCCTGACAATCACTTAGCAGCTATTTCCATGGATTTGCCTATTTTGAACATATCAGATAAATGGACCCAATCCAAATGTGATCATTTGTGTTTGGATTCTTGCACTCTGCATAATATTTTCAATGTTCATCCATTTTGTAGCCTGAATCAATATTTCATTCCTTTTTATAGCCAAACAATTTTCCATTGTATAGGTATGCTATACCACGTCATATTTTGTTCATCCATTAATTAGTTGATAGACATTTGGATTGTTTCCACGTTTTGAGAATTATAGATAGTAAGGCTGCTATGAAAATCCATGTGCCAGTTTTTGTGTAGATATATGTTTTCATTTATTTTGGGTTATATGTGCAGGAGTAGAATTGTGGGTCATAGGGTAACTTTAGGGTTAAATTTTCAGGTACTCTCAAACTCTTTCCCAAAGTGGCTGCATCATTTTACATTTCTCCCAGCAGGGTATGAGGATTCCAATTCTTCCATATCCTCCATGGCTTGTTATTGTGTTTTTGAATATAGCCCCCCTCTCGAGTGTGAGATAGCATCTCATTTAGCTATTCATTTGCAGATAGCATCTCATTTAGCTATTCATTTGCATGCCATCTTTTCATGTGCTGATTGGCCATTTGTTTGTCGTTTCTTCATGAACTGTCTATTCAAATCCTTTGCTGTTTAAAAACATTTTTGTCCTTTTATAGTTGAGTTGTGAAACTTCCTTTATCAGCTGTATGATTTGCAAATATTTTCTACCATTCTGTTGGTTGTCTTTTCATTTTCTTAATAGTGTCCTTTGAGCAAAAACTTTTATGTAATTATGATAAAGTCCAATTTATCTTTTTTGTTTATTTTGGTTGCTTAATATATACATAATTTCTACTCCCCTGGGAAGTACCGCTGTAATATTTGGTGTAATTCTAAGAGCCAACACTTCTATAGAGCTTTTAGTCTGTATCAGATTCTGTTCTAAATAAGCATATTAACTCACTTCATTGTCAAATTGTTGAATAAGAGAAGTACAATTTTTGCATATTTTGCAGATTAGGAAAATAAGGCACAGAAAGTTAGATAACCTGCCCAAGGAGACATTTCTGTCAAGAGTCAAAGCTAGAATTTGAATCAAATGAGCCTGAGTCCAAAGGCATTGTTCCCTGCACTAGATTACAGGGGTCTGTGTTCTCTCGTACTTTTTCAGTGTGCATGCAAACACAAAATTACATAGTATAGCCACATATAGTTAATTTTACATTATATTTTATATTCACTCCCATGGTCACAGTCAACTTTCTATGTGTAGTGGATTCACTCAAAATCGTCGATGGGCCGGAGTGGTGGTCTCATCTAAACTCCTTCATATGCTACTTCACTTGGATATGTAAGAGTGAACTACTAGAAATTGCAATTTTTGTAGGTCAAAAACTGTTAAATACTGATAATTTACATGGTTCAGCCTAATACTTCATTCTTTACATCAGCCATATTGTATTTTATTGTTTATACATGAATTTATTTAGTCCATCCGTCTTCCATGAGGCACATTACATATTTCCCAACATTTTACTGTGAGAGAGTTCTGCATTGATGTCTCTCTCCACCCTCATGTGAATATAAGAAGAAGCAGAGCACTGGCTTAGGGGGATAGAGAAAGGACTTGAGCCATTTAGTTACCATTAATCCACCTCCACCCTCAGCTCTTTGATGTGGACAACTGAGAGGAGGGCAAAGCTATGTAAAACACTCTGCAAACATAGCTTCAGGATTAGTTCCTTAGCTTATCTTCTCAGCCATGTCTTTCTTCCTGCTATACATATGCAGAAATTTGGAGTTACCAAGTGTCACATCTGTAGAGAGGGTAATTTTACGGGGAAAAAAATAACGTACTTGTTTGTTAGTGTTGTATGAAAGTGCTATTTCCCTCACTCCAGATTGGTAAACATTTAAATGGATCCAAGTAAAGGCTTTTGTTTTAGGGAATCCAAGTTCATTTTTTGGGTTTATTTTACAAGAAATGCATAGACAATTTCCCCAATTTAATGATTTACTCATTTTGTATTGGAGAGTTTAATTACATGGATTGTCTTGGCATAATTTTCACAATTTACAAAATTGTAGAAAGTAGCAAAAGGGGAAAACTCCCATCAAATTTGAACGCAGCATCCTTTTAGAGAGGCTTTCTTCTAGAAAGGGCTGCAAGTATCTAGCATATTTGCACCAACTGTGGTTTGCCGCATTTACCTTTTCCAAACCAGCAGTTCTGGTACCGCCTATAAAGACATTAAGGGTGATTGTAAATCAGGATTGTTTGGCCAGTGGTTCCCGCAAAGATTTGTTGGGGAACCAAGAATTATTTCCTGAGCATTTTAATTTTACACTCATTTAAAAACAGGGAGATGTCGTCCTTGCCCCCACAGTGGTGGTGGTCCCTGAAGGCCCCGTCTCAAGGCGCCAGGCAGACACCCCCGCAGTTATTCCAGCCTGGAAGGGCGCTGGCGCCGCCGCACTGCGGCAGGTCCGCGGCACTGCGGCAAAGTGCCGCGCATGCGCGGCCGGAGGAGCGGGCTGTGGCGCACGCGCAGACGGAACTTATGTGATTAGTTGGCATTGCGGCTGCCAGTCCAGCGCAGAGCGGAGCGGCCGCCGGAGATGCCTGACGTTCTGTTCTGAGGAGCGGCCAGCGGCGCGATGGAGCGGGCCAGGTCAGCCGGGCGGGTGTCTTCCCTCAGGGAATGCCCCGGGAACTGTCGCCTTTGTTTGCTTCACGTTCCAAGTTCGTGGAAATTGGAGCGTGTTGTCTGTACGCGGATCCGGAACCTGGAGGCCTTTAATATGGAGAACCGCATGGGACCCCCTTTGGAGGCTTGGGGCTTGGCTCTGCCTCCCCGGACGGTGCCGCGTCCGCTTCGTGTTGCGCCCTGGCCCGTCTGTACTATCCTGTCACATCCCCTCAGGTCCTTCCTAGGGTGGCCTTTTGTCCTTGATAAGAGGCCATGGCCGCGGGTGGGAGGGTACATTGTGATGGCCGATGGCCATGCTGCGTCCGGTGGGTAGGGTCTGGTGGGGTGCGGTCGGTGGTTGTCCGCAGTGGCGGCGAGGGGGCTACAGGGTGGGGCGTCCATGGTGGCTGCCGTGGTTGTGGTGGGAGGGGCGGAGGGAGGGGTGTTCACAGTGGCGGTGGTAGAAAGAGGGTGGGCGTGCCAGTGGTTTGGGGGTCACAGGGGTGGCCACAGTGGTCGTCACACGGAGGGGACAGCGGCGGCTGACCAGCAGGGTGACCACAGTGGCGGTGGTGAGAACTGGGCGCAGGATGACCGCTTTTGCTGTGATGTTGGGGAGGGGATGGTGGGGTGATGGCCTTGGCGGTGATTTTGGGGAGGCGGTGGCGGAGTGACCGCCATTGTGGTCATTTCGGGAGGGGGCAGAAGGATAAACACGATTATGTGAATGGCGGGGTGACCCGCGGTGGCAGTGGTGTGTTTACGGGTGGCGGTGTGGCCATGATGGCAGTGACAGGAGAGTGCGACGTGGTGACTTGGGGCCTCAGTGGAGTGGCCTCCATGGTGGTACCAGCGCGGAGAGAGGGGGCCCTGAGGAGGGGGCTCCGGGCAGGTGTAGGTGATGGCGGGCAGGTGGAGGGGCCGCGTGTCGCCTGCAGCCATCAATTTGAGGGAAAGAGAATGTTCAATTTTGTGTCACTGGTGGCAATCTTCGCATTTGAGAGGTTGTGGCGATTTTGCTGCGCCACCCCTCAGCTGAGGGCATGGCTTTAGACATGTTCGTGCTGTTGCATATTGTACTTCTTTATAATCTCTCGCTTTTGTGCCTCTGGCCGAAGACGGGGGATGTGTGTGGTGTAAGGTGTTTGCTTTATCCATCTCACGACAGACGTGCCAGGTTTTGGGATGTGACGCCGCAAGGGCGTCTCTCGTTGGGGTTGATTTTCCCTGCGTTCTGGCTGGTTTGGGTGCGCACCAGGGTCTAGTGTCACTTCACAGCCATTGTGCAGCTCCCCAAAGATGGCTGCCAATGCAGATGTTCGGGGTGGCCGCCCCTTCTCCCCGGTGCCGCAGTGGGGGAGGGGCAGCAGTGACGCTCTTGCCTGGCAGGGATGTCAGCTGCACCGCCCCAAAGCACAGTGCTGTGGGGAGGAGGCGGGTCTGCGTGGGCGACTGCCCCCTCCCCAAAGTGCCGCAGTTGGGTGCGGGTTCGAGGTGCGCAGGCGCAGCAGGGATGACACCACCTCTTTCCCGCAGTGGGGCGGGCAGCCACCCCCTTCACCTGTCTGTTACAGTTGCTGCCCCTTCAGCGCTGTGCCGCAGTTTGGGGAGGGAACGAAGGACAAGGGTTGGCTTAGCCTCTGCCTTGCGGCCGCCTCCGCCCCATAGTACCACAGTGGAGTGGGGAAGGCGATGAGGCCAGGGATTTGTACAGGGGGCGACGTGTACATTCTATGCCCGCCTGCCATGGCGGCCACGCTGTGCCTTTGCTGTTCTGTGGCGCAGTAGAAGGAAGGTGGGGGACCTGGAGGCCAAGAAAGGTAAGGCCATTCTGTGTTGCTTAAGGCAGCCTCCATCACTGGTGCAGGAGATGATAAATCAGTTTTCGGGTTCCCTAGAAATGAGGCCCGCCTTTTCATTTTTGTGGATTGTCCCTAGGTTGTATTATGAGCCTTTGATCTCCACATTCAACGTGGATTCAGGCAACCCTTTAGACCACGCCCCTTCCTATAAGGTTTGATTTGTATTTTCCAGATTGGACAATTACACAACTGCATCACCCTTAAGTCTCTGTCGTGTTTGTTAATCTCTGGATGTCCCATTAATGATGCCATCTTTATGGATGGTTTCCTTAAGTCGGGGCTCCTGTAGGCTCCTAAGAGCCAAGAGCTGTAAATTGTGTTTGCTCAAGGAGAATAGCAGAATTGGAAAAGTAGAATGCTGCAGGTCTGTGGGTGTACATGGGGTTAGATACTTGCTCTAATCAGGTTTTAAAATTAATGCTTTTGATCCATTGTTGAAGCTGGGGCTACTATGAAAATTTGGTGAGAAAGGATCATTAACGAAGTAACTACTCTTGTAATCTGTATTCCACTACTCTGATTTTTTGGGTGACATTTTTAAGGATTTTGTTTCCCTTTGCAATATTTTGGTGTGCTTGCCTTTTTTTTTTTTTCATCCATCATACCCTTTATGTCTGGTGAGCGGAGTTGGAATGCAATTAAGAAAAACATAAACCCAGAAGCTTCGAAAGCTTTGTTCTGCAATTGTTTCTTTTGGAGTAGTTTGAAAAATAGCAGTAGTTTGGAATTTTGTGATACTTACAATTTTCGCAATTTTTTCCAGTGTGTATGAAGGTACTGCTTCAAATATTTACATTTTGGTGCCCCTTCTGAACGTGTATGTCCATTTGCAAGGTGAGCGTGCATCACCCTGGTCCGCCATTTTGTAGCATTTCACTGAGGCCCCCATCTCAGTGTGGCCGATCCCTGTAGAAAGGCCTGTCAGGTTCCCAGGTCTCAATCCTGCCCACTAAATATTTGGCCTAGCACCAGAGCTATTTATGAACATAGCAAGGTAGAATATTAGACAATTAGGGAAAACATTGTGTGCTCTAATCACTTTTTGCTTCTCAGTGTGTTGCCAGATTCGTGTTTTATTTAAAAGTGATTTTGAAGCAAAATTAACATTGTGTATCTATAACATTTTTTCCTTAAATGCTCAATTTTATGAAATGTTGGTTTCTGGGTAAGGAATGCAGCTAAGGAAGATTACATATGCATGCGTGTGTATATTAAGAACACACGTAAATATTTTCAGAATGAAGCTGCTCATATCTGATTTTGCAGAGAGCTTTTTAAAAAGTGGATTTAGAAAATGGAATAGAATGTTTTCGACTTTTTCTTAGTTGAACTCAGACCTTTTAATACTGAGCTACAGATAGGAAAGGGGGTAAAGGAACTAAAGGTTTATTTGTTGGTGATGGGGTGTTCTCAGTTACTCTTAGGTTAATCCTAATCAGTGGTCTATGTATGACATAGCAGAGGTCCATGAGAATCCCATTTTATTGTATTATGTTAATATAATGTATTAATAAATATATTTGTGAGACTGTTTGCATGAATCAGCCCTAAGTTGTTTTATGACTGAATGACACTACATTGTATGGGCATGCCATACCATAGTTTGTTTATCCATTCAGAAGTTGCTTGCACTTTTTGGCTATTATGCTTAGTGCTGTTAGGCACATTCATGCTCAAATTTATGTGTTTTTATTTCACTCCATCTAGTAGGAGTGGAATTATTGGGTCAGATGCTCACTATGTGGTTAACATTTTTTTGGGAGGTACCAGAGACCACATCATTTTACATTCCCACTTAGCAATTTCTCCACATCTTACTCTACTCCTGAGGTGTGAAGTGGTTTGTTTTGGTAGTTTGGATTTGCATTTCCCTAATGGCTACAATGGCTGGGCATCTTTTTTTGTGCTGATGGAAATTTGTATGTCTTTGGAAAGCAGTCTGTTCAAGTCCTTTTTCCTTTAAATTGAGTCATCATTTTATTAAGTTGTAAGAGTTCTTTACATACTCTTTATACATGGACTTTCATCAGCTATGTGATTATTCAAAATTTTTTTCTCCTGTTTTTTGTTTATTTTTTTCACTTTCTTAATAGTATCCTTTGAAGCTAAGACTTTTTGTTTTTACTTTTGGTAAAATCCAGTTTATGAATTTATCCCTCTTTAGGTACTTTAGGTATCAGTCATATCTAAGATCCAGGAGTTTATCAAAGTATAGACTTCTATCATTTAAAAATCTGATATGTATGTACGAGTGTGATATTTAAAATGATATTTGCTATTGCTTGGTTAAAACATTAAAGTTTTAGAAGCAATAAAACAATTTGGGTTACTTTGCATAATCTAACATGAATTTTAAAATAGCGAGGGTTCAGTCAGTTTGCTTTTGGGATGTCCTTTGGATTCTGTCTTTGAAATATTACCTCTCATGACTTTTGTAAAATGCCTTTCCTTCTGTTTTTCTAACTAAGCATTTTTAAATTGCAGTTTTAGGAGTCATTCCCATAGTTCCTGATGTGAATGACCAAAGTGGTAGATTCTTGCTCAGAAACCTTGAAGCAGCCATTTTGTGAAGTGTTCTGCAGATCACAATATGGCGGTAGCTGTTTTCTTGGCTTTTTTTTTTTTTTTTGCTTATGCATTCGTTTTGGGTTTTTTGTTTGTTTGGTTGGTTGTTTTGCAAATCCTAAGGAAGCAGCATTTGCACAGGAGATTGCTTAAGTAGACACTTAGTAATTTCAACTTTATGCTTTATTCCACTATACCAAAAGGAGCTGTTCTAATAAAATATATTTTGAATCATTTTTTGTAATCAACTTCCTATTTTGGGGGGGTACTTAGGTCTATGATTAGTATGTGTATATGAATATATCTGTTAAGTATATAGATTTATGTATATGTGACTATAAGTGGAAATGTTATTTTATTTTTGCTTAATTTTCTGACATTTTCCTTCAGGTTTTCTGATATTACAGGGTTCCTAAAGGGGGAAAAAATGGTTTTAGGATAGAACCAAACTATTAGAGGATAAAGACCTTCTAATATTTTATTTACCTTAGTCTTCTCCCCCAGTTTTATCGATATAGTTGACGTATATCATTGTACCTTGTTTTAATTAGATTATGAACACAAACTTGATCATATATTAAATATAGCTTTAAATATAACCTTTAGAAAATGGTTACTTCATAAACTGATGAATTCTATCAAATACCTCTTCTGCTTCAGGGACCGCTTACACTTGAGACGCACTACTGAACAGCACGTGCCAGAGGTGGAAGTCCAAGTCAAACGTAGAAGGACAGCCTCACTGAGCAACCAAGAGTGAGTACAGTCTGGACTGAGAACCAATTTAGGTTAAAATCCTTCACATTGGAACAAAATGTCATGTGATGCGGGTACTGAAATGAACTTAATCAATGAAAGAAGCATTCATACATAAAAGATGTAGCTGAAAAACATGAAGTCATCATGAGTCATGTTGTTGTTAATTAATTCAACTTACGTTAAAATTTTAGTAAAATGTTTTTTCTTTTTTTCCCCATACATGAATAGGTGGGTTTTATCTTCATAAAATTCTACACCCTTCAACATATTTATATTTACATTATTTCTCTTTTATTGTTTTAATGTTTTACCAAATAACTTTTTCTATGCTGGTAAAATGTTCTGTGCACTGAAGGCATGCAAACCATGCTTGTTCTGCAATATTTAGACTTTTATTTTTTGGTTAATGCGTTTATTCAGTTAAAATTTGAAATACATACTTTTTTTCCCTCTCCTTATTTAGGATATTTACACATGTACACACACTTTTACATTTAAGTTTTCTGAAGGGGAGTTTTAATTAAAAATAAACATTTTAATGACCTGATACACACTGAGTATACATTGAATCTTTAGCGTTTTGACATTACCACAAATCTTGACAGTTTTAGTGGGTAGCAATTATTTTTTTCTGTTTACATTACTCATTTATTCAGTTCTTTAGATTCCATGTATAAGTGAGATCATATGGTATTTGTCTTTCTCTGACTGACTTATTTCACTTAACATAATGTTCTCTAGGTTCATTCATATTGTTGCAAATGGTACGATTTCCTTCTTCACAGCTGAATAATACTGCATTGTGTAAATGTACCACAGTTTCTTAATCCATTCGTCTACCAATGGGCGTTTCGATTGTTTTCAAATTTTGGCTATTGTGGGTAGCAATTCTTTTTTTTATTAAGAGCTGTTTTAGGTTATTTTTCAAAATTACAAGTATTAATGCATGAATATAGTCTCTTTGTAAAATACAATTTTGAGATAAAAAGTGTCTCCTTCAAGTCTGCACGGGTCCATTCTCTTTCCATCCCCAGAGCTAATTAACCTTCAGGTTCTTTGATGTGTACCCTTTCTGACCTTTTCCTGTGTGTTCTTGTGTGTGCACGGGGTGGGGGAGGCATTTGGTGGTTTACATACATGAGGTTTCATGGTTCTCAAACTGCCTTGGGGAATCTTTCCATGTCAACTCATAAATCCTCCTTAGTTATTTTACAAATAAGAGTATGGTGGTGTAACAATTATATTTATCATTTGCTTATTGATGGATATTCATGTTTTTTGCATTTTTTAGCTGTTACAAATGAAGACAAGACAACCTGAAAATTAATGTTATTAAATTTGCATTTTATTTCACTTCCTCAAATCTTAAAGCTTATAAAAATTGTAAAAAGTGGGTAGCGGTTAGTGTCTTAACTTTTGTTGTGTGCTCATTTCATATGTGGAAAATTACAATATATTTATTTGCACGTTTTAAATTACTGGTGAAGCTAAAGATTTCCCCATTGTCTCGATTTATTTATGCTTTTGAGTTTATTCTTTTATTATATTTTCATTTTGGAAGTTACTTTGAAAAGGAGTATTTTGTGAATTACATGTCTACGTAGTCCTTTATAATAGTCTATTTGCTAATTAATTTTCTTTTATATGATGATGTTTATTTTCCAGCTGGTCTATTGTAACTTCAAGTGTTTGTAAAAGTGCCATGCCCCCACCTACATCTCTAGAAGTACCTCGAGGTAGTTATTGTGTTGGAGGTTTGGGGGGGCCCTTTGGACGGAGAGGTCTGTTGTTAGTGGGGAAGGTCAATTACATTTGTCCCATTTTGCTGGAGCCTTTCTCCTGTGCAGCATCAGTGTGGACCAGACCATACAGCAGGTGAGCTCATCCTCATATTGTTGAATGCTCCTTTAGGTATCGTTTACTTGTGGAAACAATTTGTTGCTTTCAAAGAAGAAATAACTTCCTTTTCCTGACCTCTGCTGTATAGATTACGTGTAAACACTGCAGGGTAGTGAATTGGGGAAAGGATGTGAGGAGAGTTTTCAGGTGGGGAAATATTGTCATTTCACTGACAGTCACCTCTCTACTTTGAGAGTAATGATAGGAATGGGTAAGCAGTGTTGTTAGGCCTTAACCCCTGCACAGTAACACATTCTCAGGACTAGAATATAATTGTTACAGGCTGAGTGCTCACTGTAACAATAATTCATTCATCTGCCATCTTATCCCAAACCGTAGGGACGGGAAATCAGTATTTCTGAGGAATTGTGTGGGTACCAGACCTAAGACCTATGAAGGATTGCTGTTAGCATCCTATTCTCAAATACAAAGCAAAAGTGAATAATTGACATAATTACCCTTTTACTATTTGTCTATTAATTTTATTTTACATGGTAATACAATTTTTCCCTTAAGGCTTTTTTGTTAACTCCAGGGTTTTCAAAAGGACCATCGCCCTGCCCCCGAATATCTAAAAATATTTTGAGAATGGTTTAGAGATTGTGGTTGAAGTATGGGTTGGTTGGGTGGGGGCTCTTGGGAGCATATTTTGTTAGTGGATGAAGGTCTTATTATAGATTTTATATTTTGTTAGAGTCTTTATGCTATGCCACATCAAACCAAAAAAGCAGACACTACATCCCAGACCAGCAATAAGTATTAATGGAAGGTCATCAGTTCACACTCGTGGAATTGATGGTATTCTGTCATCCAGTATCTATCTCACCAAATCGGGACTGGAGGATGCCTTCCCTGCTTCTGGGTGTATTGTGTTTGAGAGAAGCCGGGGGTTGGGGCTGGAGAGTCATCTGAATCTATTTTCTGCTCCCCTTCAAATGTCTTTCAAATGTATACTCTGATTTTATAAAGTAAATGCTATTTGTACTGCATCTTATTTTCTTCAATCTTCAGTTGGGTTTCAGGTTAAACTCAAGAGGGATATAAAATAGGAGTTCCAGAAGCAAAGAAAATTTTTTTGGCAAACATACTGTTTAGAACCTTGTTAGCTTAAGGACTTGGTTGCCATTTTGTAATGAGAGGACTGGAACTGAGAATGTTTGAGTGAGGATTGAATTCAGTGATTGGAGTTGGAAAATGGAAAGGCTGAGCAGTAATATTGCCTGGAGTTAGTGCAAACATGACAGGTCAAGGGCGCAGTCCTGCCACAAGCTCCCGTTCAGTTCAGATACCAGCTGTGAGCACCAGGGTTTCTAGACCACCGCCCTTCGCCACAGCTGGGTGCACTCGGGTTCCATACTTTGTTAGGATGACTCAGAACTCAGGAAAGCACTGTACTTAGGAAGTTATAGAGGATACAAATCAGGATGAGCCAGAGGAAAAGACTCCCAGGATGTGACCTGAAGCTTCTGTGTCCTCAGCATATGATGGATCTCAGCACATCAGTGTGTATGCAGAGCTTTGGGTGCCTAGAGTTCTTATCAGTGTTCTTATTAGACTTGATTGTCAGGATCATTGGTCACATGACTGGACTCAGTCCACTCAGTTCACAGCTCCCCTGGCAATCTAAGCACACTCATCTGGTCTTTGTGGCCTGGCCAGGTCCTATCAGGAGGAGGTGTGGCCTATTAACTCCATTAACTAGGGTGTGAGCCAGAGGGGCCACCATGAATAATAAGGGCTCTCTTATCAACGGGGTAAATTCAAGGGTTTAAAGGTTATCTCCTGGGAACCGTGGGCAAAATCAAGTCTAATTCTTTATTGTATTACAGAATGTTAAAAATGTTGAAAAAGTACGGAAAATAGTGGACATTTTATCACAGCCCCATTTCCAAATCTCACTGCCATTGAACATTTTCATGTACATGCATGTGTATGTGTGTTTATATGTGTATGTGCTTATCAACAAGGGCAGACATGACGATGAATTATTTTTTTTCATGCTTGTCTTGTTTGTAACTTCCTCCATCTCGTCCTTATTCTGAGGTTCAGATTCACTGCCAGATTGCTGACCCATAGGGATCTGTTGAGGGCTTTTTTCCGGAATTCCTTGCTAGTGGATGGTTGACATAGTTTGAGACCCTGAACAGCCTGGACCTGGAATTCTTGGTTTCAGGCAGTGACATCTCAGGAAGATGGGCTTGGAGGGCAGCCTTAGATCTCACTGGGAATGCCTCCACAAAGGCGCGGCCTCCTCACTAGGAATTAAAAAACATAGAAAGTATAGGGCACCTGTAGTAGTTCCACAGGAAGAGCTCTTGATTGGTTTTCTTGTTTGTTAGTTTTTTTTAAAGTTCCTTGGTAATATCCCCAAAGTGGTTAAGTATCCCTCTGTGCCATATGTGCAAAGAGAGGCTCCTGTTTTCTAATTAATAATTTCTTCATAAGGTGATGTCATGCCCTCACCCTAAGTGAGGACCCCTTTTAAGTTTAAGCGTCTCTGTGTTGGCTTCCGTATTGCTATCCACGTAGCAAATGTTCTTTCTTTTATGTATCTGTCCTCTTCCCGCAGGTGTCAGCTGTACCCAAGGCGATCTCAGCAGCAGCAAGTCCCCGTGGTGGATTTCCAGGCCGAGCTGAGGCAGGCGTTCTTAGCCGAGACCCCCAGAGGCGGTTAAGCGGTCTTGGCACATCCCAGGTAGCGGACTCCGATTTGAAATCCAGGTTAGAGCTGCTGCAGTCCTGAGCAGGAGTAAACAGATTGTTAGAGTAGGGTGTTTGGAGGTCACATCATTATCTGGGATGTGTTAGTAAAAGAATTTCCTTTCCTTAAAAGCTTTTTGCCATAAGCAGAAAGTTAAAAAAGGACAAGTCAGACCTGACTGCTCTCCCTGCACATCTGTTCAATTACTGTATTCCTTCCATTTCATTGTAGTGCCTGCTTTTTTAGGTAGTTCTTTTCATATTTAATTTGTATTGATTTTTCAAACTAACATTATATGGAAAAGGAACCTCATTCTAAGTGGCTGCTGAATATCCTGCTAATGAATGTTTTCTAACTCCCTTCTGTGAGCGACTTTATTTTTCTGCTGGTAGTTTGAATAAAGTTTCAGCAAGTTGCTTTGCATAAAACAGAGGATCATTTCCTCATGCAGATGTGCAAATAAATTGAATCAAGGAATATGAGCTCAAGGTACATTTTCTAAATTCTATTACAAAGTATTAATCAGTCTTCATTGCCTTGAAAAAATGGAGTGCCAGTTACAATACACTTTGACCTGTACTGGTTATTTTAATGACCTACCGCTTGTGCCTACTGAATTATAAATATACATGACATTCATTAGCAAATAAGCGAAATATTTTCCCATACTTACTTACTAATTATTCCTTTTTTGTTTTGTCTTTTTCTCACATTTTTTTTTGTTTTCACCAATGTATTTGAATCAGCTGGCAATGTAATAAAGATATTTTCCATGATTTTTCAATGTGATGTAGATTTATTTACAGTCTGTCTTTTTATGTTGGTTGCTTACATATTTAGAAAAAAACTTCAGATTTTGATTCTGACAATACCTTGTTTTTCCTTTGTGACTTTTTATTTATTTTTTTAATTTTAAGATTTGTATGACCTCAGTCTAAAGGTTTTAGTAGATACTTTTTAGAAACTGAGACAACGAGGAATGGGGTTTATAGATGAGATTTCTTCTAGATTTTCTTTATTTCTGTTTGAAATAGTATCCCTTAACTCAATTAGGCCTATTTACGGGCACCTTTTTTGAATTTTAAAGCAAAGGAGAACGTTTTCTTGAAAAACCCTCCCTTGCTGAATTCTTTACCCAGCATTCTTCAGTGATTGCCCAGACTTGATTGTAAAGACAATGGAATTGATTTCAGACAAGGAAATCTGATCATTGTCCCTATCCTCAGAGTAAGGACATTCTTAAATGAGTTAAGTGTGCGGTTTTTTTTAACAAAGTTTTTTGCTCCTCAGTATAATTCACATACTCTTCTAAATTCCTAAATATAATAATATTTAAATCATGCATTACGATCTGCAAGTAGGGCCATCTAATTGTCTGGTGTTATATTTTATTCCAGTCTCAAGTGCTAGTTTTAGCTAAACAGTCCTAGTTACTAGGATTATTTTAGAGCAGGTGTGGTAAAGATCTGACCCACTTACTGCCAGTTTTTGTAAACAAAGTTTTATCAGCACACAGCCATGTCCATTTATTTGCGAATGGCTGTATTGGCATGACAATGGCAGGCAGAGCCTAAAATATTTATTATCTCAACCTTTTAAAAGAAAAAGTTGGCATATCTGTCTTTAGAAAAGCACATTTGAGGATGAACATACAAAGGGGCAGCCAGTGGGGAGTGATGAAACTATAGAAGGTGGTGAAAAAGGGGCTCTAGGAGGGTGTGTGAAGCGGCCATCACTGAGTAGAGAGCCAGTACATTTCTGGGATAAGGGTCAGGTCTAAGAATCACGGTCAAGTCCAGTGTACATGCAGATGGGTAGTTTTAAAGACATTTTAACAACTGATAAATTTCCTCTTTGATTATAAAAATTGAAAACATATGAGTGACAGTTGAGAAAAATGGAAAAGGAAACCAGAAACTTCCTATACCTATGTGTCAACCACAGCATGAAGTTGAATTTTATTTTGCTCACTCTGTTTTGAAAATATTCTAGTTGGAATCTTTTAAACTAATTTTCTATTTATTTCACTTAAATGTATACCATGAATGTTCCTCATTTTATTTCATAGCCCTCATAATTCATAATGAATAAATGCTAGTTTGTTTATGATTTACTTTTCTGGTACTTGTGTTTTGTTTGTTTTTTTCTGGTTTGATGTGCTGTTAATATTCTATATTTTGAAAGATAATATTTAGTTTCTTAAAATAGGGTAAGCATCCAGTTGTGGACTGCAGGGTGTAAAGTACTGGTAGGACTCTTACATGTTTTGTCACATTGCTTTCTGACAGTGTCATCAGCACTGTTGAGCTCCATCAGGAATTACTAGGGTGCTTGTTCCTCAGCCCCAACTTTTGTGTCTTTATTATTATCATTATTATTTTAAGATTTTATTTGGAAATTGGGGAAGGGGATCAGCCAAGTTGTTCTTCAGTCTTTGTTGTGGAGGGCGCCAGTCGCCATCTGGCTGCCCGTCGGCAGCTGAAGGTGCTGTGTTCAATCTTAGTTGCAGGTGGGCGTAGCCACCATCCCATGTAGGAGTCGAACCAGCAGCCTTGTTAAGAGCGCACGCTCTATCCACTGAGCCATCTGGGTGGCAGCTCAGCTCAAGGTGCCGAGTTCAGTCTTAGTTGCGGGTGGGCGTAACCCACCATCAAACAGGCAATCTTGTTACACCAGCTGAGCCATCCTGCCACCTGTTGGCAGCTCTGTTACAGCTCAGCTCAGGCGCAGCGTCACTGGCTCATGTGGGAATCGAACTGGCGGCCTTGTTGCTCAGGACTCGCACTCTTAATTCAACTCTTAACCATTTTAGCCACACGGCTGGCTCTTTATTTTTGATAAACATCCAAAAGTTGTTTTATGTAGTTTTAACTGGCATTATTTGTGGATGAGTATTTTCCATGTGTTTGTTTTTTCTCCTTATTGAACTTTTTTCCTGTTTTTTGTTGGAGGATGTGTTACTTTACCAGATTTGACTGAGCACTAATATATCACCATTATTCCATGATGGCTCATCTGTTGTATGCGACATAGCCAAGCCTGACCACGTGATCTTTTGACTTCAAGGAGCTTTACACTTTTGTATAGTTCAATCATTTGAAATTCCACACTTTGCAAAAGTTTGAGAACTTCTGTCAGGAGGGATCCCAAGATGTTTGAGTCAGGGACTTGGGATATTTATTGCTTTGTGTGCCCTGTGATGTGAGGGCATTTACTGTAACTGCTAATACGTTAGTGCAGTGTGACATCACTGCTGTCTTTCCCGTCTCCCCACAAAGCATCTCATTATCCTTAGCTGTGGAGATAAAGTTGATCCTTCTAGAACGGGTTATCTTTTTCCTTTTTGGGGTTAGGAAAATTTAGGGACAAGAGACAACTGTTGCTTAAATTTTAAGGGTGTCTTGTTGAGGAAAGCCTTTTTTAACCCCTCTTCCAAGTCCTGAGTGAAATGTGCATCTCTTTATTAATACAGATTATTTATATATAATATTACATGTCCATGTCCCCAGTTCTCTAGGTCTGCAGGCCATGACGCCAATCCCCAGGTGCACTCTTACACTTGATAGCTGGGTTACAGCACAGAGCAGGTGTGGGAAAGGTTGGAACCTCAGGATAGGTGACAGACAACACAGAGCTGGCCGGCCTTTCCTTTTGACTCTGATTCATTGTACAAGGAAACTGGGCTTCAGCCTGTTGGTTTCTGATAGCTAAACTCTGAGCTAGGGCTGATAGGTGTGTGTTCACTGCACTGCAAAGTAGATACGACTTTGACACTCGCCACATGGGGACATGAGTGCTGTCACATCTTTCAGGCACCGGAAGGTGTGGAAGCTTTGTCTCTGAACTTTAAACTTGGACTGCGAATTTCTACTTTTTCAGTGCACATTGGATGCTGTTTCCCATTGCATTATTCCTGATATAGGACACCTTGTGGTTCCATTTTTTTCCTTTAAATGAAACCTGGAAAAGCTGCATTCATCTTGACTGTTCTTTTTAATAATTGTCCTGTGGCTCATTGTCTGTAGCAAGCATGCCCCACTGTGGGTGGTAAGGGGTGTGTGCTCCAGTAAGAGTAGTCTTCTTCAATGGTTAGCTGTTGTTGCTGGGGTTTTTTCTTTCCCTTTTTTTTTAACTAATGGCGATATAAAAATTAATCTTACAAACTATATATTATTTGAAGGTCCTAACCGTTTACTTTTTTTTCCCCAATTTTTTTCAGCTGAGCCATCCTGCCACCTGTTGGCAGCTCAGTCGCAGCTCAGCTCAGGCCAGGAATCAAACCGGCGACCCTGTTGCTCAGAGCTCATACTCCTGAGCAAGCTCTTAACCAACTGAGCCACTCAGCCAGCCCCTGTTTACTTTTTAAAAACAGCTTTATTGATGTATAGTTTACATGTCATAAAATTCACTTGTGTATAAATCAGTGATTTTTTTTTTTGCGGGGGTGTAAATTTACAGAAATTTGCAACCATTGCCACAAGGAACTTATAGGACTTTACATTATCTAAGGAACATAGATTCTTTCTGCCCATTTATGCATTCCCTATTGCACCCTGAGTTCAGGCCACCACTTGATTTAGCTTCTGTCAGCATGGACTGATGAAAACCCTAAACCTTAATAGATAATGTTTTAAAAATAGAAATTGCTAAGGATTCCCACCTATACCAGTATTAGATTTAGAGTCTGCTCTGTAGCAAATCCTGTCAGAATACAGAACATCTAAATTTTAGGCCTTAAATTTACTCAGTGAGTTTGGGTCAGAAACTACATTTATTGGGTTGGGGGGCTCAGCCTGATGATTTGAATAGATAGTTACATAATCAATTTTATGTAAAACATCAATTTGTGTGCAGATACTGGATGCAGACACGTTAGATACCTGTGATCGCATTCTTGCATCTTTAAGGACATAGTTGGGTAGATGGGAAAAGAGGCACGTGGATAACCATTATAATCAGTCATGATGAGTGTGAGAGGAGTGCAGACAGCATGTGTAGGGTATGGGTATGATTTTCAGGATATACCGCACAAACCATACATGACAGTTTGCATGTGGAAGACAAAGGTTGGGAGATACTCTGCGTAATAATCAGGAATTTATGTTTTAAACAATCTGATACCCTCTACATTGTTATAAAAATGTATTCAACTGACATCACATTTCAGAAGTTCTAGGGAAACATCTCTTCTACGTTTTACCACCCTTACTGAGATCTCTTTCCTATCATTACGCTCTTCTGATTAATGTCAAGTACTACATGGAAAACTGGCCTCAAAAATATTCTTTTACTTTATTATTTTGGTGGTGTGTAAGTCATAACCTCTATTTAAATGATTTCATTTTCATATCCTGAAATAGATTTAGTATTGTATTTACTTAACCAGCTTACTTTGCTGTTTGCAAATTTTCTGTCAAATAACAGAGAATAATCTTCTTGAAAATGTTTACAATGTTAAAAGTACAATTACATCAGACTTTGTTTATGATACTGGGCTACTTTTATGCATAAAGCCCAAATGCTTATTCAAAAGTAATATAATTTGTGTTTCATTTTTTGATACAATTATCAATTTGAGGCCCTTTATCAGTTTGGGCTAGAATTGATTGCCATGCTTAATAGAAACCTTTTTTAGTGTGTTGGGGGAAATGATACCATCGTTATTATATAATGTGTTTCTTTGATTTCTGAGAATTGCCCATATGTCCATATAAACATTTCTGTAGTTGCATGTCCCCTTTTAACATAGGTGTTAAGCAGGTACTTGAGTGTACATTTGGTTCCTGGGGAAGAAAGATTATGTAGCATTTTGCAGGGGGTTGGGTGGGGGCAAGGGAACATCGAGGTTGAAAACTTTTAGGTGGTTCAGCCAAGAAGCAGAAGTTAGAACTAACTCAGGATTAATTCTTATCAGGAAAGTTAAGGATATGAGGAGCATGTGGAAGTTGAGAGGACGTGGTTTTAACTGGGGACTGGAGAAGGAGGCACTGCCCTAAATAAGGATGGCAAGAGAAAACATTACATCTTGGCAATGGCAAATGAAGCTTATTTTTGAAACATTCAAGAAATAGTGCAAAACAAAATACAAGAGTGCATGGAAGGATGGGTAAAAAAGCTGAAGGGGAATATAATCAAGAATGTGATAACTTGGCACGGTGACAGAGTTCCTAGAATTTGTGGGCGATCACATTGTGAGTTGTACAAATGTTGGTTCACTGTCATACCTGAAACATTGAATATTGTATACCAACTGTACTTGAAAAGGAAAAGAAACATCGTCAACCCTGGGTGCACCAAATGTGGGAGTTGAGGAAGGAGTAGTGAAATGGGGTGTTTGCTTGGTGGGTGTGGGAACATGGGGGGGGTGTATTTGAATGTTTGTCATGTGATTCTCATGCTAGATTGCCCGTTTGGAAACGTGGCGGACTGCAGTGCAGCTAGCTCCTGCTTTCCTCTGCAGGCTCCCCCTACTGTTGGAAGCTTCTGCCCCAGCTTGCATTGTTTGTAGCAGCACCTGCGTCATACCTTTGTCTGTAGCCTTCCCTTAGGTCTTAAGGATCTCGGAATTTGACTGTGGACGTTGGATTTGCTGGGACAGCAATCATGGTAAGCTGTCTGTGAGGGCAGAGGGGTGAGAAGTGTTCTAAGGGCCCAGCATAATGGTTTGCAAATGCGTGGGGTGACTCAGGTTCCCTATATTACAAATAGGAGTGAGTCTGTAGAGACGGTGTCTTATCTAATGGAGTAACGGTTGGAGATGTTACGGTGGTAAAATGGTTTGGAAAACATCTTAAGGAGAGATCTTAGAAAATGAGTAAATACACCAGAGTTTTTGGCCAGGATTACAGTGGTAAGGGACCATCCTACAGATGAGAAACTCGGGTTACTCTGGACATAAAGTCTAGCTTGAAACTGGGACTTACAGAACAGAGGAAAGCTATCTGCAACAGCAGTGTCGGGGCTCTGTTAGTGTAGCTAACCTGAAACAGGTATTCTCAACAGGAAGGACAGCCCCAGGCGGGGAGGAAACGTTATGAAAAGTGGAAAGAGTCATAGGTTTTAAAATGGTTTCTGGCCTTGCTAAGGGCCACAGTATGTAAACAGATGCGGCATATCTGCATATTAAAATTACAGTGGAGTGGCGATTAGGACATAAATCTTTGAAAAGGTGCCTTAGTGGGACTGAGAAAACAATAATCTGCGTTCTGAAAAATATGGGTTGTGGGGTGTGAACTAGGATGAAGCCCTGCAGGGAACTAAAAGATAGTGCATTGCATTGCCCTAGATTGATGGAAGCCGGCAAAGGTTTTGATGAAGGGAGGCTTTTCCCAGGTTGGGCTAGTGGTCTAGGGGAAAGGAAGTAGCCCACAGAGTCGAGTGTGCTGCAGGAGGGAGGGATTTGGGGTGAGAATTGGGGAAGAGGGGTGGAGTGGTGAGCTACTAAGGGAACTGGGCTTGGGAGTCTGGGGAGAAAGGAGAGCCAGATGATGGCAAACCGGATGCGGGGAGGGTTCTGAGAAAGGGGAGCCCCACAGAGGAGGGCAGTGGTCCTGGATACAATTTGGGTCCAGGACCTCAGGCAGCTTGGCTGGATGCTGGAGCAGAGGGGCAGGGGACCAGGAAGCGGGTGTGGGTTTGCGTGGGTGGGGGCGGGAGGCGAGGGTCGGGCGGAGGCGCAGACACAGACTGCTGTCCCCACACCGCCGCAGACCGTGGGCAAGAGCAGCAAGATGCTGCAGCACATCGACTACAGGATGAGGTGCATCCTGCAGGACGGCCGCATCTTCATTGGCACCTTCAAGGCTTTCGACAAGCATATGAACTTGATCCTCTGCGACTGTGATGAGTTCCGGAAGATCAAGTAAGCACGCGGGTTTGGGAGCAGGAGGTTGAAGGAGAGGCAGGGCGGGAGCAGGCTGGTCTGGAGGTGAGGGAAGGACAGAGGGAAGGACAGGGGGAAGGAGGCTGCAGGGCGGCCCTGCTGCCACCTCCCAGCCTCCAGTCATAAAGCCCTGTCCCCCCACTACTGGTTTCACATTTGCTGAGACTGAAACTACAGCATATCCAGTTGTGTTAGGTTCCTTTTAAAAATCCGGACATGTTATTAATAGGCTGGCTTCTGTGACAGCAGGAGTGGTAAGGATGACAGTGGGTCTTCCTGGTGGAGGCACTGGGACATGGTTAGAATTCTCCCACAGATCTGGCCCCTGCGAGCCTCTACTCTGAATCACGGCATTCCCTGTTGATTGGGTGACAATCCCCAGCCCTCTTGGCCTATTTCTCTTTGGCCCATTTCTCCCGGAACTGCCTCTGCCTTAGCATGAGGCCGCCCTCTGCATGCCTAAGGCTGGGAGCTCCTGCCAGCAGCACTGCTGGCCCTTCAGCAGGGGACGCAGAACTGGGACTTGGTAGATCTTGGTGTCGTCCTGGCACTCAGTTTAACCTCATTCAGGGTGTTGGGGTTGGTGCTTGTCACATCTCTGGACGTTCAACCTGACTTCATTCTGGGCTTTTACGTGGGGGCACAACGGACAAGGCATCACCCCCGGCCTTGGCCTGATTTCCTCTGTCCCCACAGTGAATGATACCCTGTCCAGAAGTTGACTGTGCCCATTCCACTTAGGTTTTTAAATAGGAGGGAAAAGATGATGCCCGGCTTTCCCTGTCTGCTGTCACCTGAAGTCTGCTCTGCTCAGTCAGATTTGAGGAGAACACATAACATACTCGTATACCTTCTCTTTCCCTCTGGTCTGTTCTCAGTCTTCCTGCATAATAAGTTGGATCATTTCAGAAATTCTAGAACAGTGAATGCTTCAGTGTTATTTTTTTGTGTTTAAATAATCCATCTTTTCGACTGACAAAATAACTCTACCATGTTGATAAACATTAAAGGCAGTTGACAAGAGCTTTGGGCATATTCTAAATTTCTCTGTTCACATATCTCACAAGTTACAGGAATGATTTCACCTGAATGGTGTTTTAAGTTGTATGTGATAGCAACTCTCTGTGATAGTACCTTCTGGAGACTGTTGAACAGCATTGCGTCCATTGCTCTTACCTGTAGGAGTTAGAAGGCTCACACATGTGCGATTTTTGCTGCTGACAGTTGAGGAAACTAGAATCACAGTTGCTTTTTTTCTTTTTCTTTTTTTTTTTTTTAAACTGGGGAACTGTGCGTCTTTCCAGGACCCATCAGCTCCAAGTCAAGTAGCTGCCTTAATCTAGTTGTGGAGGGTGCAGCTCACTGGCCCATGTGGGAATTGAACCACAACCTTGGTATTTGAGCACTGTGCTCTAACTAACTGAGCTAATGGGCTGCCACTAGAATCAGTTTCTTTACCTTGAATTTCCCATGGATACGTAGTCAGTGGCATGGTTGGGAATACACCGGTGACAATTACTCCAACCTGTTTCTTCTTTACCATTTGGAGTCCCTCGCTGCTTATAACTGACCTCATGTCATTTCAGTTGTCTATCATCAAGATTTACTTACGTAGCTAAAAATCATTTAATAAGTTCTCATCTTAACTTGAAAACTGAGGTTTTATTTTTAGTTTGCCTGTCTTCAAAGCTTTAGCCATGTCTCTTGCATCCGTCTTTCACAAAGACATTAGTTTTGCTGTAGTATAACATTGAGGGGACATTCTGGAAGATCGAATTTCGATACGAAAAGATCTTTACTAGTCATTCTTATATATCAGCTGGTCCAGTCTGTGTGTGTGTGTGTGTGTGTGTGTGTGTGTACTGAGCATGACTATTTTGGCATCAGTGATCGTCTTAATTGATACTTAATGATCTGTAACTATTTTACTGAGTCCTAACTTGTTTTACTGAAATTCACTTCTGACTTCTAGGCCAAAGAATGCGAAGCAGCCAGAACGTGAGGAGAAGCGGGTGCTGGGCCTGGTGTTGCTGCGTGGGGAGAACTTGGTCTCCATGACTGTGGAGGGGCCACCCCCGAAAGATGTAAGCTGACCAGGACAGGACATTGGAGTGGGGGACATAAGATTGTGTGAGGAGCTGGCTAATCTGGGATCAGCAGGCCCAGCCCAGGGCACCTCTCTCATGTAAAGGGTGCGCCACACCTGCTGTCTCTTTCTGCTTGCTCGTACTTGGGATTAAGGGCTTTATGATGAATTATTCTGTGTGCTGGGGACTGCTGAGGTAAGGACAGGGCCATGAAAAGGTGTGTGAACTGCATTTGAACTGCATTTCACGTGCAGGACACTTCCGTGGTGTGCCTGTCTACTCTTCTGAATACAGGATATAAGAGAAGTTGTGTGGAAAAGGGGTGGGAAGGAGGGACCTTCGAGGAGTCATTTAAGATGATTGACGGCTTTGGTAAAGCATGTTATTTCAAGCTATACTTTCTGTGTTTGTTTCAGACTGGCATTGCTCGTGTACCTCTGGCTGGAGCTGCAGGGGGCCCTGGGGTTGGCCGGGCTGCTGGCAGAGGGGTACCAGCTGGGGTTCCTATTCCCCAGGCTCCTGCTGGGTTAGCAGGCCCTGTGCGAGGGGTTGGGGGACCATCCCAACAGGTAAGGAAATGAGAAGGTTTTATGTTGTTGGGAGAGCCTGAGCGCACACCCTGTGCTGTGTGAGCACCATATGCTGGAGAGGGAACTGAGGGACAAATATACACTAGGAAGGGACTAGATGAAAGCCACCTTGACAGAGTAACTGACCACCATTGACAAGTACAGAGAATATGAATGGAGAAAGCAGAGCTGAAAAATTGGGGCATTGGGCCGGCCGAGTGGCTCAGTTGGTTAAGAGAGCTAGTGCGAGCTCTGAGCAGCAGCGGTTTGATGCCTGGCCCGAGCTGAGCTGCCAACAGGTGGCAGGATGGCTCAGCTAAAAAAAAAAAAAAAAAAAAAAAAAAAGTATATTGGGTGGAAATGAGAAAGGGTTTGTGGGCCAAGGTTTTTTAAAATGAGATAAATGGGAGATGCACAAAACTGAGATGATGGCTGTATTCCATAGGCCACGGTCCATCATTTACTTCCTGTGTTTGCATAGTGTGAGGCTGCGCCTGACCTGTTTCTCTGACGTGCCTTGTCAGGTAATGACCCCCCAGGGAAGAGGCACAGTGGCAGCTGCAGCCGTTGCTGCTACGGCCAGCATTGCTGGAGCCCCGACGCAGTACCCCCCAGGTCGGGGCACGCCCCCTACACCTGTGGGCCGAGCAACCCCACCTCCAGGTGAGTGACTGATGAACACGGACAATGTCAAGGAATTCGGTTCTCAGATGCAGGCGTGGGTCTGTGCAAAGATTGTACCATCCTGAGTGATGACTAAACATGCTTTCACCAAGAAGATACTGAACTAAGACCCAGCCTCAGTACCTAATGAGCTTGGAGTGTGTTTCCCGTTTTTACAAACTGGCTTTTAACCGAAAGGCTTTGGATGTGTTTGGGTTGGAGGTGGCTTACAAAGTAATGGTCAAGGAGAAATTGTTTAGCTCTCTACTTGGTATCTGGGCTCATTTCTTTAACTGTTACCTTGGGTTTTGTCCTCCCATCTTAACCGAGCTGATTTCTTTTTTTTTTTAAAGTAGCGAAAGAGCAGTTTATTAGAACAAGAGGTACACTTGGAAGAACTAGAAGCGGGCCTGAGCAGAAGGCATTGGCTCAAGGGCCACTATTGGAACGTACACTCCAAAGGGTTAGGAGCGGGCCGAAGCAAAAGCATGGCAAAGGCTCAAAGGGGCAAGGGCATCATTATTAGGAGAAAAAGTACACTCCAAAGAGTTTGGAGCGGGCCGAACTAAAGGAGGAGCTCAAAAGGCCCTGACTGGCCCCAAGCTGATTTCTGAGTCTTCTTGTCGCCATTTTTCTTTTCTAGGCATTATGGCTCCTCCACCTGGTATGAGACCACCCATGGGCCCGCCGATCGGGCTTCCCCCTGCCCGCGGGACGCCCATAGGCATGCCCCCTCCAGGAATGAGACCCCCTCCACCAGGAATTAGAGGTGAGTGGGTGCACACGTGCCCAGTGTGCTAGCCAGGTCCCTGCCAATTGATGTTCTTTTTCTAATAGCCTTATGGCATTTCGCTTCCTCTTTTGCAGGTCCGCCTCCCCCCGGAATGCGCCCACCGAGACCCTAGGATACTATTGACCCTTAGTCACTTTGACCTGCGCTGCGTCTTGTGAAACTGTAGAGTGTTTGTGAGCTTTTGTCCCCTCTCTGCTGCATTAATATTCACTAATAAATGCATAGAGCAATTAAACTGTGAGGTACTGTTGTGCGTTCTTTGGCCCATTGGTTCTGTTGAGGTCAGAGGGGAGACCGGGATTTTTCCTGCCTTGAAGTTACTGTGGATGAGGAAAATCCTGTTAAGCAACTCCTTTAAATAAGTGAGGCTTGTTTCAGCTTCCTAACTCTGATTTCTGGTGTTGATTGGTGTTGGGTAATAATCTTTACATACAGGAAACTTTTGATTCAGGGGTTAAGTGATCTGGCTAAGACTCTCACCTGGCCACCTCCCCTTCACTGTGCCATACATCCCTGAAGGGACGAAAGGCCTTGTAAGGCCACCAGTAGAAGGAAACGGTGGCACTGAGTTACAGCGCTGGGAATAGGAGGGACGCTTTTTCTTGGAAGTTGACCTCAGCTCAACAGCTTTTACACGGTGCCCTGTGGCTGTGTGATCAGAGAAGACGATGCGATGCTGTAACAGCCATCATTCCTACCAGTGAGTACTCACAAGTTCCTTAAATAATTGCACAGCTGGGCATTGGGAGCCAGGGGAATCATATCTGAGAGAAGCTATGTTAGTTACACCCTAAAATATATTATTAGTTGACAAAGTACAAGTTATGATTGTACCCAACTGTATCATTAGAGAGATGTTGGACGAGGAATGGAGCAGATAGGCTCTTCCAGTGAGACAGTGAGGGGATGCCCAGATAGCCAGGCCCAGTTGGAGTTGGTTATGGAACAATGGGATGACTTGTGAAAGAAAGATAGATGGAGGAGACTTTGGTTTTGCTGCTATGGTTTCACTGAGGCCGTGAGCAATTCCTTATTGATGGTAGGAGTTAGCTTGTAAAGCAGCACAGTTTGAGATTGGTGTTCTCTCCTTACTAATGTAAGACTGGCAGGCTGATTGTGTTTTCCCCTTTGGTTTTTCCAGCAGAGGTTTTGTGTATGTCACCATTTCCATCTTCTAAATCATGACCTTTTCAAGTGATAGTCTCCCCAGGAAAAGGGACCTTCAAAATGACTACAGTTGCTGTCAATAAATTCACGCGGTCTCGAGTAGTTTCTAGGATTGATGTTCTATATCAGGTAAGGAACATAAAGTAGCCCAGCCTTCCTTGTTTTAGGAGATTAGATAAAACTGAGTCTGACAGATACAGCAGATAGTTTTGCTATAAATCTGTGGGCAGCGTGTTCAGAGCCTTGTTTTCTGCACAGCCTGGTCTGTGGACAAACTTTAAATAATTAATTGATGGTCCTTCTGTTTTTGGAAGGAAAGCATTCTTCCTCGCATTGATCTGCTGACATGGTGGCCCTTGGATTTTGTCTGGCATGTGTCATCATGTGGTGTGTCTGAAGAAGCCTGGTTCCCTCCTGCAGGCACACTTTGGAGACAGCACAGGTTGGGTTCCAGACCACCACAGTAAAGGGAGTCTCACAGCAATGTGAATTGTACCCTTTTTGCTGGTACACAGTCTTGCCTTCAAATTGTAAACTTCACAGCCTTTGACCAACGTCTGCCCATTACCTCCAACCCCAGAAGTCCCTGGCAACCACCATTCTCTGTTTCTGGGAGTTCAACTTTCAATTATAAGATGAGTAAGTTCCAGGGATCAGACATCAGCAGGGTGACTACCGTTAACATTGTATTGGAGACAGTTGACCTTGGAACAATGTGGGAATGAGGCATGCCGACCCCCAACACAGTCAAAATTCCATAGATAATTTGACTCCCCAAAACTTAACTAGAGTCATCCCTATTTAACTACAGTCATTCTATTGCAAATAGAATGCTATTTGAAACTGTTCTGTAAACCATAATGAAAACCTATATAGTTTGACCGTGTGTATAATGGAGTCACAGCTGATAAAATGTGACCAGGAAACCAGGAAGTTGTTCCCAGCTGTGTTTTAAATGAAACATGTAGTCAGGCAGGAATGTAGGAATAATTCTAAGAGACACCAAGTACTTACTGATGTGAATGTTTGAAAACTGGACTGGTGGTGTGTGTCCCCAGTGAGCAGACTGCAGAAGCTTGGATCCATCAATCCCTAAAAGATCCACATGCTGACCCAACACCTTATATGCAACTCCATGGACACCTATGTGCCAAGCCGTCTTTTAGTTTTTGGTCCATAGTCAATCAGGGTTCTCAAAAAATTCAAGGAACTGGGTAGTCACAGAAGAAGAGTATTAGCAAACTCAAACAGATGTTAGACTAAGTACCTTGAAGAAGAGTTTTTGTAACACACCTTAACTTTCGAGAGTTGTCTTCAGCTAGGGAAATATAGGCATGCCTTATTTTACTGCTGTCGTTTTATTGTGCTTTAACAGACTTTTTTTCTTTTTGCACATATACATGAGATCAGAGGTCTTTGTATTTTTGTAAACAAAACTGATGTTTGATTTAATGTAGGACTTTTACAGACCATGTCAAGTAATTTAAGGGATTATGTGGTAGTAGTTACTAATACTTGTTTGGAATTTCCATAACTTTGTTTA